CTCAGGAGTCCTTCGCTGCTCAGTAACCAGCAACAGCAAAGCAATTGTGCCTTGAACTCCGGGCTATGTTTCCCTGGTCTGGGCTTCGGAAGCGGGCAGGGAAGCAACAAGGAGCTTCGGTCCCTGCCAGGTAAGGCTCTGAAATAAAATAGTTGTGGCAGGACAGAAAATACCAGGTACTGAGCTTAGAGACCATCAGAACGGGAGGAATATTTCATGGGAGTAGCGTGCCACAGGCCTGAGCCCTGGGGAGGGAGATGCATGCTGATCCGGTAATAAGGAGTTTGGCGGTTGTGCAAGGATGGGGGGAGTTGGCCGAGCAGGGCAGGAGATGGGAGTGCTGTGATGAGCAGTGCGTGACTCAGGGTGTCCATGGGGTTGTCGGCGTGTGGGAAAGGGCTGGACAAGCAACACCCCTCGCTGGGGTTATCGCAGCTCCTACCACCAGTGAAGGGCGCGGTGGGAGCGGGGAGCCTCAAGCAAAACGGACACAGAGCTGTGCAGCTACCAAATGGGCTTTAGCAATCACAGCCGGACCCTTTCGTGACCAACCTCTGCCCTGTCTTGCTTTCCTTATTCGCACCAGGAGCCCAGCCCCGGCGCCAAGCGCCTGGCACAGCCCTGCGAACCCCCCATCGCTCAGCCCTGAGGCTTACGGGGATGGCGAGCACCGCTTCCTCGGGGACAGAGAGCCCGGAGCGGGTTCCCCTGCCCGCTGGCAGGCTTTCTGCACTCATCGACTGCAAACCACAAAGGCAGCTGCCCAAAACCTCGGCGGAGAATCGCCATCTCTCAAGCCCCGGCAGGAGCAGCCCTGCCTCAGCACGGCGGGAGACACACAGCATCCCCCAGGACCCAAGCGAAAGCAGCGCGCTGGAACACACCATGCTGTTATCCACCAGAGACCAGCCCTATTTTTCATATTACGCAATAGCAACACAAAAAGGCAAATTCCCGTGGATAAAGGGGGAAAGATGGGGCAGCAGAGAGTCGCAGAAAACAGATCCATTTCTGAGAAAGATTCTTTTCTGCTTAGCAAACAAGCACTTTCTGTTTGCATCCATCAAACAAACACGCTTGATTTTGTTTTGTTTCACGGCCAAGTTATCATTTCTCCAAAATTATTTCAAGAGCACAACAGGGGCAAAATAAATTTGCAAATGAGGCTTAGGTAAACCATGCTAGAGCTTAGTGGCAAAGTGCACGGCCCTTTTCAAAGCCCGAGTGGAAACCACGGGAAACATCAGGGTCAAAAAAAAAAAAAAAGCTTTGATTCGTGTTAAACTCGGATTTGACTTTTAGCATTCAAATCAAAGGGGGAACAAATAAAGGTATCGCATCACCCTGCCAAGAAAACCAGAGGAGATGTACAGAGGAGAAGTGGCCCTCCTCCTACAGCCAGATCTGCATGCCATCTGCCTGGGGCACCAGCGAATTCGGGGGGATACCACGCAAGTGCCTGTGCATGCTGATGGGATCGTCAGAGCCTCGCCGTGGAAAGCGCTGACTGATGCCAATTAAAGTGAAATCATAATCAAGCCATTTGTTTTGGTGCTGAGAGAACTGCTCCAAAGGTCTCAGCAATGCCTGGACGTAGTTCAAGCGCTGGATGAAAGTTCAGCGTGGGTCTTCTCCGGCACGAAGCACTCGCTACTGGTGAGGGCAGATGCTGCCCCCTCCCACGGTGGGAGGGGATGTAGACCGGCCTCGTCCTCACGGTGTGGCCTTGCAAGAGCCGGCAAGAAAGACAGCTCTGACCCATCTTGTCACACACACGAGCCCTAGGTGTAACCCCAAGAGCCGGAGCAGCCCCAGCTCAGGGACCAAAGCATGCGTCAATAAAAATACCAAGCTGTTGGACCCAACACCCACCAACCCTTTTCCTATTCCTGCAGGTCTTGCTGCATCCAGGAGTAAATCCTGCCCCTCCTATCCCAGAGGGCAGCTCTATCCCAAGGTCTAACCCTAGATTTAAACTTAATAGAGTGATCTAACGTGGTGGTACCAAAGCAAGACACGTGACTGTACTCTCCAGCAGGCATCACGAGACAGAAGGAAATATCTGAACATCTCTGGTGACTCTGGTCCTAAACTGACTCCCAACGGTAGATTTACAGTAGCCAGGTTTGCACAGAGCAAAGTCTGCGCCCTTCACAACAAGGGAGTCTCCTAGCGGCCATCGATCCAGCTTCTTTCTCCGGCGCTGAATTAGCTCTGCTCGGAGGGGCGGCAGGGATGGAGCTGAAAAGAGCCTCCTTGTCAGGGCACCGCTGCTCGACAGCAGCTTGGGGTCCTCGGAGCCCTGCCACCCCAGGTAAAAGAACCTATTTCCAACAGCCAAGCCCTCTCCCTTGGCGGGGGGGGACAGGATTTCCCGAGCGCTTCAGAGAAGCAGCAACTTCTGCTGCTAAGTTCTCAGCTTGCTCTGCCTTTTGTCGGCTGTGAAAAACCAAGAAGGAACCTCTAGAAACATCTCTTTCCTTCCAAATCCTTGGCTGCGATTCACCGTCCTCCCACCTTGCGTGGAAATGAGTGGGCAAAGAGGAGACCCTATTTT